AGGTATCCAACAAAACCACCAACTCTGCTTTTGTGCTGCTTCCACGGTGGACTCCAGAAGTAGAATAGGCTTGGAAATAAAAAAAGTAACAGTTAAACAGATTGAAAGAAACCTCACAGGTTACAAGGAGGTAGAGAAGGGAGAAAAGGTTTAGAAAAGAGAAAGTAGAGTCTAAATGGTGTGCAACAGATGGAAAAAAAGACTAAATGGGCATTTTAGAAAGAAATCGGAGTGGATAAATCACTGGAAGGGTTCTGGAAGATGCAAAGAAAGGACTGGCGTGTTGCATTATATACACAGAGAAATGGAAAGCATTTTTGGAGAAATGATTATAATGATAGGAACTTAGAAATTTGGTTAGAGATAATCTACTGAATACCATAAATGATAATTGCTATCAGAATATTATTGGGGTGGAGGATATAAATTACTGTATATATTTCAAAAAGCAAGACACTGCACCAGGGCCAGGTATGTCCACATGCGCAATAGCCTCACAAGTGCAACACCACTTATCACACCCAGTATGTGTTAAACAAACATCTTCTGCCTATAATTAACTGTTTCATGTCTGGCTGCTCCAGGTTGTAACCTGCATATCCATCAACCCTGTCAAGGACACAGGGTCAAACACAGTCATAATTTTCTTTGCTACATGCATCTCATATGGCAGTGATGACTCCCACCCAAAGTTGAACCAATAAGAACAGTTATGTTCATTCATTGAATGAATGTGATTACTAGGTATGTTTCTTTCTTCATGATACTGCTTTTAGTACTTGAGCTTTTCCTAACCTAAATACAGTCGATTCTGGATAAGTAGAAGTCGCAGGGACTTGAGAAAATGCTTCCACTTATCAGGATTTCTACTTATCCAGACAGCACACACAATAGAGAAAATTGCTGGGACTAAGCTGGTCATGTCGACTTATCCGAGTTCGACTTAAGTGGACTCGACTTATTAGTTTTCTTAAATAGAGTCCCATGGGGTTTCAAGGGCTCTTGCAACAGAACACAAAAATCCACTTAGCAAGTATGTGGTAGACTGTGACGAATTAAAGATATAAATAACACAGAACTGGTACTATGGGATACATACTGAGGGGAGGATTTAAGCAGCTATGGACATGTCCAGAGGGCAAAGACTCAACTATGGTGCAGATTTCACATGCTAGCTGTAAACAACATCACATATCAACTACCCTTTTAAGGGTAAACACAGAAGAAGAAGAAGACAAAAGAGTGACAAATCTCAAATATATGTTAGTATATATGACCAGCTACTTCACTTCCTTTTTACAATAATTTGAAAGACACTGAACTGCAGAGACTAATTTGACATTTTCTAAATGAATCTGACATATTCCACATATATATTTGACATCACTGTTGTTGACATGAGACATTGCGGGTAAGAGGGTGTGGGGTATGTGTGAACAACCCCAACAAACGTTAGCAGCGTAAAAACATCAACAGTAGACAAACAACCACTGCACAAACTATGGGATAGCTTGACAAGAAAAAAAAAAAGGCTGCACAAACTATGGGACAACTAAACAGCTCAAAAAACACTAGGCCTAAAAGTGAGCCACCTCAGCTAGAGGCTATTATGAACACCTTTAAAAGTATTTTGATTTGCACAACAAATATTCAGATGAATAAGCGCCATATACCACTGAATTGTGTCTTTGGCTTGCACCAGCAAACAAAGCAAAGTAAAAAGTTTGAGAGAATGCATTGTCCCTCTAGCAACACAGATGTGACATGTGGACTATACCACAATCTTTAAGGAAGAAAATCAGGGATTTTTGGCTGAAATGCTATAACAGGATTCTTAGAATACCAGTACAGCTAAGAAATTATGTCTTACAAAAATTAGCACCAGATAATTTATGAAATATTCAAAGAACTATCGGAAAATAAAACCAGCCACCTTGCTTGTCATGCAATATTACTACTTTTTTTTCAAAAAATGACCTCGACCCTTGAGTGGGTACCAGGTGCAATCCAGGGAAGTAAAGGCGGCTGACCACATCACCCACAAAGTGCCGACTGGTCTATAAAAATATGTCGAGCCCAATGGCGTGGAAAATGGACTTTTTACTTTACAAATATAACTACTACACAGGATTTCTGAGATCTGTACGTGTTTTATTCTTATACTTGAGATGTTAATCCTACAGATGCAAATCTGGAGGGGTAAAAAAAAAAAATCACAACAGTAGAAACTGCTATAGGACTATCTTTATGAACATTTTTTAACTTGCAGGTTTCTCTTCAACAGTACAGATACAACAGGGAGATGTAGTGTAGATTTTCCCCTGCTGACCAAAAGGTCCAGATTTCAAACTGCACCATAGTAGTTTTAAAAACTGACCTTAGTTCCCAGGCTGACTAAAAAAGTACCTGGTAATGTTCTAGCAAGTAAAGCATTGACATCTGAAGGTGTGATGATAAAGAACAACTGCTGAAAGAATCTCTTTGCCAGCAGTCCCTAGAGATACAGAGCTGAGAAACCATGAAGTGGGAAGAAAATGAAACTGACCCATTGTAAAATATCATAACTATAGTGGACAGTAAAATGTGTCTAACATGTATAAGCAAAGAATTACCCATTCTGTGTAAGATATTTAAATCCCAGGTGTTCAGGCTGCGTACTGCTGGCTTCTAAAGACAACCCAGGATGAGTGAGATGTTCAAAAATGGAAGTGAGGTTAAACAGTCATGAGCAGAATGTGACGATTCCTTGGTTCAGCCCAGTACCAGAGCACTATGTATTTGCTGTTATGGAAGTCTCTTTGGATGGCAAGGAACTCTCATGTTTTGTCTTCTCTTGAGGGCCGACCTGCTTTACCTCGATGCACTGGACCGCCCCTGATTTGAAGGGGTGGAAGGGAGAACCACTGTGAACTAGAAAACAAAGATAACCACATAGCAATGAGACTGCAATGCCTTACAAAACTAACCGGAAAGGTAATCCAAGCAGCCATATTGCAAAAGAGTAAAACACATTTTGACTCTAGACGACTGTAGAAGATATACCGGATGCACCAGGCTCCTTTAGCTTTTAGCCATCTTTGCAGGTGGTTTATGAGAGAGAAAAACACAGCAGCTTTAAACAGTTTGTAGATTGCACAGGGAAATGATCTTTCATTTAGCAGCTCGTTCTGCTACCTATGCAACGGTTATCTCCATGATCATGCTTGAGATAGGCTGCTGGAAAGTGCCACTTTCTTCTTGTATTGCTTCCTCTATCATGTCTGCTCCCTTTGCATATGCTAACTGTGATCTGCTTTTCACTGACCCACGCCCTCTTGCTCTCACACATATTTATGTGTGTGTGTGTGTGTATATATATATATATATATATATATATATATATATATATATATATATACATACATAGATATATATTTATATATATTATGCAGATACAGCACTAATGTTACCCGGCTTTGCCACATTCTAACAAGTTGCCCAGATCAATTAATCTTCTGTTTCCTACCTAATGCAGGTGCTGTTCCAAGTCAGCCTGAAGTATCACTTCTAATTTGGACAATGCTTTTGATTTATTTGTTCAAGCAACACATTAAAGAATCATGGCAGAAAACCTACAACACACACACACACAAAAAGGAAAAATACACCAACAGTGCATATTTTAATTTTAAAAAATCAACAATTAAAGCATAGAATTACTATTGTATACTATATCACAAAAGTAGATGAAATGTAAAAAACAACATGTTTAGCTGTTTGAAGAATAAAATGCTTAGTGCATGTCAGGGTTGGATAACCTCTGTGAAAATTAATACATGAAAAGTAAAACTGACATTTAGGAGCAGTTAGCCCTGATCTGTGGAATAACATCAATTTTCTCACCAAAACATTAAGTATTCACAATACAACATAAAATCAGCTGCCATTACTTGCAGTGACCGATGTGAGCAAATATCAGAACATCGCAAGTTAAAAATGAACTGAAATAAATACAGGTAAGATATGTACACAACACTGTGGCATCCTTCCCCTCGTTGGTGAAACAACTAAGCTATGAGCTTGTCATTTTACCAACTCCTCCCTCGCTGTGCTAAACATAAATTACCAACAAAAAAAAAAAAAAAAAAATTTTTCCCTTACCATAAAACTGAACCTAAAACAAGACATATGATCCTGACAGTCATCAGTAAGCAGCTAAAGTGTAAACTGTTTACGACAGATGAAGCAAATCATGCATTTAAGAGTTCCCTGTACATAAATGCAAACTGAAAGTAGTTTAATAAAAGTCTCTAAATAGAATAGACATTAAATTTAAAAAAAAGTTTCTTCCATAGGGCGTCTGTGTTATCATATAAACGAAAACCAGTAAATATCAATGCAGTCAGAATTACAGGTGAGTATTTTCGTAATAAAAAAAAAAAAAAGCGAAGTGTATTTTCAGATGACAAGGCATCAGGCATTAAAATACAAGTGGATCGGCTTCATCACACCTGATTTAAAATCTAGTATGACTTCAGGCAGAAGGGCTGGTTATCGCTGAGTGCTAAACAGACCACGATAATTCCTGCAACACTGGCATTAGCTACTGAAGGACCAAGTCAAATCCACAACCTGCAGCAGAGGCAAATCGCTTAATAACTTGCCACTAAGATCTCCTAAAGTCTAGAAATGCAGTACAAATGCAATCACAAGCAACAGTTAAACTCTTTCAGCTTCAGAAGATTCCCAGGTAAGTAACTTTTATGAAAACATGAGCACATTACTGCCATAGAAGCTGAATTCAAAGGCGGAGTGGTCACTTAGAAACCAGATTTTCTCTTAGCAAACTTCAGTAAAATTTAAAAGAGACCAAATTCAGTAACTGTGGAGAATGTCTCATAATAAATCACATACTGATGGAGACTTACAACCACTTCTTTAGTAATTTATAATAGTATGTCATTATTTCGGCCAGTGTTCCTACCAAACACAGCAGTCAACAACATGAGAGTATCCTAATATCAGTGTGTATTTTCTGAAGCAGCAAAATCTTTCAGTGCTTGTGATTTCAGCTGGGGGATGAAGGCGATCTTCATGAACTTTGAATCCGAGTACTTGGTCCTCACAGCCTGTTAAAAAGGTAAAGCATAGGGAAATGAATGTTTCAGTAAGCTAATAAGATTACATTTTTGAACTGTAGCTATGGGCTTTGAGTAATTAACTGTGAACATTAGAGAACTACATAAAAAAAAAAAATCCTTTTGCTCATTATCCACCAAATAAGTTTAGGTTTTTAATGTGCATAAATGTGTGCTGTTTTCTGCCAACACATGCTTCCTCCTCTTTTATTATGCTGTCTGTCTTTTTCTTTCCATTGACCCTGGGGATCCCAGTGCAGGGTCTCAACTGACATGGAGTTAAGTCTGCAATCCGACCCCCCTCCCCCTCCCAACTGACTCCACGCTTCGTTATTCTAGAACAGGCTTGGAACTGCCCTGGTTTAGTGGCTAGATGTTTGTTATTTTTTAAAAATTACCTCAGCCTCAAATAGGTACCAGGCCCTGGAAAGAAAAGGTGACCAGCCCAGTGTTGACCACAATATCCACCGAGTGCCAACTGGTCTATAAAATGTCAGTCTTGCCCTAAATTACTGAAGGCATGGAAAAGGGTCTTTTACTTTGTCTACTTCCACCATCTTGGCTGGCCACTTTGTTACTTCTTTCAACATTGTTCATAACTGGTTGGTTCCTGTGGCTATTGTGTATATAGGTGAAGGTGCCCAACTCCAAGCATACACTTAAATCATCACTCACATCAGGAGTACATCGTGACGGTAGGAGGGGAGGAGAGGAAGACCGAAAGAACAGATGCTGGATGGTCTGACATCATGGCACGGAAGATCATCTGTGTCAGAGTTGACTGAAACTACACGAGACAGAAGGTTGTGTGCCACACAGCATAGACTTTAAGAAGACCACATCCTTCAGAGGGTTCAGTGTTATGGTTCTCTGCTTACTCTAAAGGCCACGGTAATAGACATGCAAATAAATTAACTATATATTTATTCTCAATAAAGCAATAAGGATTCAGATTTTTGCAAGCCATATATTGAATAAAAATTCTCTGCTAGTTAAGTATTTGTTTTGCATTAGCTCCACCGACAAAGTATATGACAACATAGAATAATGTAAATAAAATCCAATGTTTCAACCCAAACATTTGCCAAAGAACACATGAAACACTGACTTAGCTGATTCACGGATGTTGAGAGAAGACTGGCTGGCATTTAAGAGCTACCACCTGTCTGTGTTACTTTGGTCCAAAAAGGTAGCAAAGCATAAAAGAACTGTAACTTCCTGTTATGAATGACCTGCAGCTTAACAAGAGTTGCTATCAGACTGGCAGTTCAAAGACAGGAGAAGACAAATTAAGTGCCACAATGGAAGCATAGAAAACTCTAGACAATGACACTTGTGACAAAACAAAGCTGAGAGTTTTCTGTTACAATGGTAAGTTAGCTGCCACAACAATTTTGCATGTTATGCCAAACTGCCAGCAGCTGGAATCAAACTCAGTATCTAGGAAGTAGGAAGCGAATTCACAACACCTATGCCGAAGAAACCGACATGTGCATGTAAACATTTAAAATTAATTTGTATATAATTTTATAAAATAAAATAACAAACAAATTATTTAAAAGAAACAAATACCATAATTATTATTTTAAATATTTCTTACTGTGAGTTTGGGGTTTCGGACTCCTACCACCAGTTTTGCCAAACACTGAGCTAAAGGTATAAGCTCTTCTTCTGAATAGGAGCTATAGAACTGTAATGTGGGACTCTTGAAAAATCAAGAACACAAGATTACTATTAAATGTATACGTTTCTAACCACATGATAAACATGTATATAGAAAAATAGTTCGTAAAAGTGTTAAAATACAAACGAGGATTACCGGAAGACAGAATAAGTGAGCAATTTATTATCTTGACTCCCAGCCAAGACACAACAGTCACTAGAACACTATATCTTGTTTCGGCACGAAGATCAGTTTTCCTGAAATGGAGCTCAAATTGAGCATCTCTGGTTTACAAGATTGCCCCACCATTGTCAATCACAGACAGGAACTCAGGTCCGCAAGGAACAACTCTGCAAGACATACTATGGGGCTCCAGTGAAGTCATGATTGTGATCCATGCCGGAAAAAATGCCAAACAAAAATTCATTGTCACTGAACAGCGAATTTCACCTTGCTGAACATACTAGAATGACATGCACAGACGTTGAAAGAAATTCAGACTGTCACCGTGAAGAGTATTTTTATGGTCCATCCTGCATGGCCTTGGAACTAGTCCTGTCTTGTGTGCCCTTAATTTCTGATACATACGTCCTTCCATACTATGATGCCAAACTATATCTTTTTTCGTGGTCTCCCTCTGCCCCCCCACTCAAACTGTTAGGACATAGAGCAGTTTACCGCTCTAGATTGTAGACCGTCCTCTTCTGATGCTGGTAGTCAGTTTTATCATGAGTTAATTTATTTCAAGACGTGATTACAATTTTTAATTTGTCCACAGCGGTATTATTCTTCTGTAAAACCACATACTTTTAACACTATCAAATAAAAAATGGCAATCCAACATCTGATCACTGATTGGACAGGTTTGGGACCACACAAGAACAGTCTCAGTACAAAAGGCGTATCTTCCGCAGGGAACCTAAGGATTTATGACCATAAACTATGCAGGTTAGACCCCTGCCCCCGCAAACATCTCAGTCATATTCCCCAAGGAGTCAAAAGTGAATGAAAATCAATCATAAAAACCACTTGGCCTGCTGATTATCAATACTAAAGAAAAATAAACAAGCCCAAATGACAAGAAAATGTGCATCAAGTAATTAATCAACTAATTGCAGTTCCAACTTCATAGGAAATGGGTCACCCCACAGTTTATCCATTCCTGCGCCATGGAACTCCACAGAATGCCCATCACTGTTGCTAACGAAAATATATTTAAGCATACTGCAGTCTCAGCTAATCCAACAGCATACACACATTAAATGCAACCATCAGAAACAGTTGGACACTAGAAATGAACAGTAGCTGCCTATGCAATTAATCACAAAAAAGCACCACCAGTTCTCTGACAACAGGCTACTTGTCATTTTCAGAATCAATTCACAGTACAAATCATGCTGGGCAGTCGAAAGCATTGCAGATGAAATCTGCATCTCAGTGTTGCACCGTGCACTAAGCTCAGTAGCTAGGCAACAGGACGATATCCTTTCTGTCTACATATGGAGTAAAATGCGATGGCTAACTACTGTCAGAAGCACAAACTTGCCACAACTAAAAACAGTAAATCTGCCTCTGCTAAATTGACAGGAAGAAGTAAGTAAATGCAGTCAGTAAATGTAGTTTGGTCTACATACCCACGTTGATCCGTCTATAATAAACATGGACAAGTAAAGAGCTGCTGCTGCAAGTAGAGATGGTCGATAGTGAAGCAAATCATACTCTATCAGTGCTAACTCCATCAGATACTTTGCCAGCATGTGCTTTGCTGCACTGACCTGCAAAATGTACATTTTTGAAAATAGTGTTAGAGAAAGAATGATATTTACTACAAAAAGTAGATGTAACAAACAAAAAAAAAGTAATGGAATAAACAGAAAAGACTGCTAACAAGTTCTGAAACAAAGATACCATTTTTAAGTATATTACTCACTGGCAAATAAGAATTTTAACTGCTCAATTTACTGTAGTAAATATAATGACATAAAAATTGGAAACTTGCTAAGACAAGCCATTGCAATAAGATTTTAACTGCATTGGGACTTTTTCAGACCAACCGGACTACAGAGCTATGCTGCTAGACAGGTATCTGACAGCTCTACTAGGGACTATCTATAGCCTGATGCGTTCCAAAAGTAGGATATAATCTCTGTCACTTTCCATGTGGGTTCCAGGGGAGAAGTAGAAATTACCCACTGCCCCCTAATAATCATGTCGTAAAAGTAGCCTGTATAGGGGTGTTTCCTCCTAAGTCAGAGTGCATGTGCGCGAGAGTTGAGCAACCAATAACCTGCATATAAATAAACCAAACTGTGAAACGGATATGCACAAGTTCTGGATCAAGACCCCAAAGTACAGAAGTGGATGAACAACCAGAACTTTCTGCCAGTTTACAGCTGTTGACCATGAGAAAGGTCTCTGTCACAATTTCCACCTTTGTAAATTAAAGCAGATCCTGCAGCAAGTAACTGCATTTTATATTTGTCCTCAGTTTATTTGCTCTATCGCCCATAAAGAAAGTAGCGAACAGTAAGAATAATCTAAATGTGTCATGTAAGGTGACCATGCAGGCTTGTTGACCAGAGACTGCCTACATCCTTCCATCAGCAAAATCCAACTAATAATAATTTGGTTAAAAAATGAACTTGGGGGTTGTTTCTGTTTCGTTTGGAGAAGAAATAACAGAAGAAAGAAGATGTCTAATAGCCTCACTTTTCTAAATATACAGCCACAAAAGTGCAACCAGGCAACTTTACAACACTACATTATTTTCTTAACAAGAAACAAGTCATTTATTCTTTTTAAACATGCATACTGACCTGCCCAGCTTTGGAATTCCTCCTTAGAAAATTCAGACAATGAGGGCGACCCAAACAGAAATCAATAGTTCGAAGGATGTCCTGTTCCATATCTAGAATGTCCTGCTTGGTATAGGCATTGTCTGTTATATATACAAAGTCTGCAACTTGGGGGCTGTGCATCTCTTCATATTTACTTGCAATCAGCATGGCAGTAACTCCAACCAACTGCAGCCTAAGTTTGATGCAAGGCTTTACCTAGAAATATACAGACTTCAGTTATTTTGATTTACTCACAACTAATGGTCACTAAGCTCTTTTCCCTATGTAAAAGACACAAGCGCACATTAAAACGGAAAAAATAGCAAGCTCTAAACATTTACTCACGGCAAAGATGTGATTTCTAAGAAGAATGAAAAGAATACCATGGAAGGATAGAAAAACAAACAAAGCAGTCATTAAGACAGATGAAAACCGTTAACATAGCCAGTAAATAATTTTTAGATTTTACTTGTGAAATAATACTTGAGGACTTGGTAACAACTGACAAGATCCATGGAAAGATAGCAAGAGGAAGGCAAAAAGATAAATGCCTGACCAGATGGATGGGGTGAGAAATTAAAATGATCCATGATTCTGGTGAACATGTGGGATGGTGAAACATGACAGTCTAAGCTTATGGCCCGGCACATGATGATGTGCATTTTTAAGCCATCTTATGTATCTGGTTTATAACCCTCTGATGTTGTTAAGCCTGCATCGCAGACTGCAACCGCTAACCAGCACTGGCATATACCAGACAAGCTAGCAAACGGCACTGGTTGTTTGTGTGCTGTGCTTTGGCGGGTAGGTTGTGACTATATCTACTAAAAATTAATCTGGGCGGGGTGATGTTTACAGAGGAAAACATTTTTACAACTTATTATGTCATAATCCCCTTTTACATTAGCAGTCGGACAGCTATAAAATAATGGTATGAGTCACCTAACAAATGTTACTGGCCAATAGTTTTCCATTTAAATATTCACGCCACACATTTATAGACACTTGAGATACAAGGCACAGTGGTTAGTTTTCAACATCCTCACCCTGCCTCCTCTTTAAACCAAAACAAACAAAAAATAATACACAGAACATTTTGACCCGAGAAGAGAAAAAAAACCCTGTCTCTGCTGTGAACTGAACCCTGATCGTTATCTTGACTGGAAAGCAGGCATATCTACACCCTTAAAAAGATTCTTCTTAGCATTCACCGGCTACGAACTCTGGCAGAAAGTTCTGGTTGTCCAGCTCCTGCAGAACTTGAGATTTGCACGCTGTTCTCTTTTACAGATCTGGCGTATTTGTATGTAGGGTTCCTTGACACATTGAAGAAAACACCCCTAATTAGTTGCCTTCAATATGCTTGTTAGGACGGCAGCAGGTTTATTCTCTGAATCGGAGCTCCAGGCGCCACATAGGGATAACAAGATATAAAAATCTAGATGTAACTATTACACAGGTGTTAATGGTGAGTGAATGGATGAGAATGATTACCTGCAGGTACCGATCAATAATGGCCACGGTGAGGTAGAATGTCTCCTGCAGTAAACGGAATTTATGATGTACTTGACACAACCAGTCAATAAGAATGGCCCTCATTTTGCCCGTCAGCTCTGTACCCTCCAGGTAATTGGGCCGTACATTGTATATTTTCTATAAATGTAAAACAGCAAACAAATGAACTTGAAAAATCGTTTATTTCCTGTACAAGACACACATAAGATGATTTATTTAAACATGAAATAAATATTTAAAGAGCACTGTGTATATAACACAACCAACAATTTTTTTTTTTTTAAATTTTGGAAAACATATAGCACTATACACAGAAAAATCTGGTATGTTTTGTACAGGCAGTTGCGGTCATTACCTTACACTATAACTAATCTCAGATCAAGCCTTGTATATTTGTACTCAGTTCCCATTCTGATAAGGTTTTGGTCCAACAAACTGAAGCAGCAGATGTGCATTACATAAAACGCATACAGGTAAAGAATTCCCTTATTATTCAGATTAATCACAACTTCAACAAAGCCCTCCATACCATACAACAGAGATGGAATAAAATCTAGCTTTAAACTAAAAAAAAAAACAAAAGACATTTAGCTTGAGAACCTACCCAAGTTTGCAGATGCTTACCTCAATTTGCCTCATGTAGGAATAAATAGGATTCACATATACACTGACATGTTGAGGGTCGGCTTTGTCATCAGCATCAATGTTCTCTATTTGGTGGGCAAACATAGCCTTTGAAAAAGCATCTCTTCCATCACTGCTAATATCCATAGATGTGACATCTTTGGACAAAGAAGTTAACTCATCACTGTCCTTAATAGGTGCTAAGTCACTGGGTAACAAATTCTTTTTTGGTACAACTTCCACTTCTGAAGGAGGTAGGCTCTGATTGTAGAAATAAAAATGTTTAAAATCGCAACAAAATGGTTCACTAATTTTTTTTTATAATCAATCATAAAATTCCTCATTTAACCCCTAGTAATCAATACATATCACATGTAAACCAAGTATGCAATTCATGGAGTTAGCCCATGATCAACTGTAAGGATCCACATATGAATTCCCAATCTTCAGTTTAGTCGGCAGGCATCTAGTCACTGCAGAGGCGGTTTCCCTCTGTATACACCGACACATCTTTTCTCATGTGGTAACCTACACTGATTTTTCAATGCAATCACCTGGTCTATCACAATAAATGCATTGTTGACATTTGTCTAGAAGGGTTGATCAGCCTAAAGATATTGGTTCAAATATCTCAGCAGAAATAATGCACACAAACACATGGGTATCACTCCATCTTCCAGAAGAGACATATGGTCAGCCTTATGGAGTTAGTTTCACAACTAAGCAGTATTCAAGGTTTTAAAATTCATCCCATAACTGCAACGTCCTGTGCCAGTTGAAATCACATAAAATGCCTCCCACTGCCCCATGTGAAAACTAGTGGACAAACAACTAGTGCTGACAAATTCTAGAAGAATGAGGGCAATGAGGAAGACAAGAATACCATTGTGGTCTTCGATCAGAAACATGAGAAGTGCCAGTGAATGAGATTGCAACATTTTAATGACAGCAGTGGGCCAGATATTTCCTGCAGAGGACCTCCTTCCATTGTGAAGATGGCCCAATTCTTTTACTGATGAACTGATGATGATGTCTGGTGGGTAGAGTGTGTTCACACTATTTGATACTGAAATTATGCAGTGTTAAACCTTCACCTTGTCCCATAGTTTTGGAGAGAATTCTTTTATAGCCAGAGTAATCTGGCTATATGAAACGTGCAATGCATTTGCTTATGTCAGGATAACAATGTTTCTTGTCTTTTTGACTCAAATTAACCATTCTTTCCTGGCTTGCATTCCTACACTGTAGAGATGCCAACCATAGCATGGTTTCAAAAAGGATAAGATTAGTTTTCTGGCTAAATGAAATATGCTATGCTGTTACTTATATCAGGATTACCCTGTTTGTCTCTTTGACTCAAATTAACCATTCATTCCTGGATTGCATTTCCACATTGAAGAGATGCCAACCACAACTGCAACATGCTGTCAATGGAAGTAGTCAGTTATGATAAGCTGGCCACACAGGCACTATAAGACACTTTGTCAGCCCAAATGGAAACCGGCCACATTTTTTTTTATATCACGATAACAGAATTTAATAAATACTCACTGCTTTTAACCTTTCAACCTTTGAATGTTCTTTAGAAGCTGCAACTTGTTCACTATTTTTATTATTGATGGCTGATGTGACTTTAGTCTTTGCTGCTTGTGCTCGGGTCACAATTTCGCGTAATGGCTGTGCAGCCACTTTTTTGCTGGCTTCATCTTTGAATGAGCTGACTGTCAGGGTGGACACACGATTCCCTATTTCACCAAGTGTTGCTCGAGAGATTCCCTGATATGTTGTCTTCATTCTTCGTGTGGTAATTTTATCACAGTTATTAGTTATGTTGGGAATTCCCACTGTACCCTGGAATACATATTTAAAGGTATATGTCACACACACAAAAACCAAAAGGAAACCATCAATCATAGAAACAAATGCACACAATTTAAGTTTGTTTTTAAAAAATATAACAACAATGTGCACGTGGTGTTAGAAAGGAGCTTATAGTGAAAGCAACAGGAACTGAAGAAGAACCATCAGAGGATACTGAAACCCTCTGGTGCAGATTCAAAAATATCCTCACAGCAGCTGCAGTAGAAGCATGTGGTAAAGTCACAAGTGGAGGGCGGTGACAAAGGACACCTTGATGGACAAAAAGAAAAAGTGAAAATAGGAAAAAAGAAAAGGGCATGGAAGCAATATCTGGCAGCCAGGAACACAGCTGAACAGAGATAAAAAATACTGTGCTTAAAGCAAAACAGAAATCATGGGAAGAGTTTGGAGAAAAGTTGGAAAAGAATGCAAGAGAAAATCACAAAAACTGTTCTACAAGACCCTCAAGAACATGAGGAAGGAGAAAGAGTGCCCACTGAAATTCATAAAAGACATGGAAGGAGCTCTGCTTACTTCTACAAATAATATCATGGACAGATGGAAAGAATACTTCTCAGAGCTCCTTGGCGTTGAGGAAAGTCATGACCCAGAAATAATGGACCTCACCGCTGAGAAGGAAATCATCCATGGGGAAGATAACATTAGGATGGAAGAATTGAAGGCAGCTATTGGGAAGATTAAGCTGGAAAAAGCAGCAGGTCATGATGGTATAATACCAGAGATGGCCAAATATATGGGAGTCGCAGGTGAGCACCTTCTACTGAAGGTTCTCCAGGCAGCCTGGTGTAGCAAGACTATACCAAAAGATTGGGAGATTGCCATCATTTTACCTATATTAAAAAAAGGTGATAGCAGACACTGTGAAAACCAGAGGCATATCCCTCCTCAGCGTTCCTGGTAAAAGTTGCTCTAGAATTCTCGAGCAGAGACTTAGAAGTCTGGTAGAGCCACAACTGGATGAGGCCCAGTGTGGCTTGAGAGCAAACCGAAGTACTCAAGACCTTATCTTCACACTGAGATAGATGAGTGAAAAAGCCCTTGAATATAAGAGAGATTTACCTGTTTTTTTGATCTGGAAAAGGCATTTAACAAGGTACTCTGGAACTGCTTGGCAGGGAAAAACATCACAGCACCCCTGATCAGTGAAAATACAGAGTTTCTACAAAAGGTGCCGAAATTATGTAAGAACGGCAGACCAAAAGTCAGAAGAATTTAAGACCACTAGCGGTGTTATTCTCTCACATTACCTCTTCATTCTAATGATGGATGTCATCAAGACCTGTAAGGAGAAGACAAAAAAGAACTCTGTAGGGTACTGGAAGATGACACCAATCTGTATATCCGAGCTGGCATTTGCAGACGATGTGGCCTTGATAGCTAAATCAGAGGCACACTTTCAGTCCAACTTACTTGTCTGGAAGGAAGAGCTTGAAAAGAGGGGGATGACCATTAGTATCTCCAAAACTAAAATCATGGTGATCTCAAGAGAGGAGAAGAAACACCAGATCATGATGGGACAGTATGCATTGGAGCAGGTTAACCAGTTCAAATACCTTGGAGTTGTATTAGACCGAAACGGAGGCATTAAGACTGAGCTGGCTACACGAAAAGAAGCTGCTGGGAGACTCTTCCAGGCTATAAATCAAGGGTTTCTTAGCAAAAGAGAAATTGGCAAGAGGACGAAAATGGCTGTTTACCGCTCTACCTATGTACCAGTCCTGACCTATGGGTGTGAGTCATGGGCAATGACAACAGCTTACAGAAGCCAGCTTCAGGCCTCATAAATGAGTTATAGGAAAAAGTTGGGCACTCTTCCGAATAACGGTCCCTTATTATTCAAAGACAAAAAATCCCATTCAGGGCCTCAAGAGGTCGTAGTTAGGGGACATGAGAGGTCATGTAGTTAAAAATATGGAACAGGAACACTACGAACTATGCTTTCTTTTATTATTAAATTTCGTTTGAACAAATTTACCGAGTCTGTCATCCTATTGTGTTAAGCAGGCGATCACGGTTCGATTCTTCGACGGGTAATCATTTTTTTCTTTAAAAGGGTGGTTTTCACGTTGTGTTGTGGTTTACAACCAGGCTGCAATATCTGGGTCTTTCGCTCGGTATTGTGGTTAACAGCTAGGTTGTGATAGCTTGCGGTTAACAGATAGGTTGCGATAGCCGCAGCAAATTTTTTTTTTTTTTTTTTTTTTTTTAAAAGGGTGGTTTGCACGTTGTTTTGTGGTTACAACTAGGCTGCGATATTTGCGCCCTTTGCTCGGTCTTGTGGTTAACAGCTAGGCTGCAATTGCGCCTTTCGCTCGGTCTTGTAGTTAACAGCTAGGCTGCGATAGCAGTGGCCAAATGCTCAATGGTCATGTCACGGGCAGCTAATCTTTTTTTTTGGTTCGCCCTTGAAATGGCGGTTGGCATAGTGTATTGTGGTTTACAAATACGCTGCTATATCTGCGCCTTTCGTGCTAGGTTGCGATATCTGCGCCTTTCGCCCCAACACAACACATCTGATTTCAGCAGTCCTAATTAGTTCTCGGTCTTGTGGTTAACAGCTAGGCTATGATTGCGCCTTTCGCTCGGTCTTAACTTTTTTGTAGTTAACGTGCTTTGTTTTATACATACTTAGCCGAATTTCAGTGGCGTCACAGTCACAAAGAACATGTTTTCGGACAGTATTTGCAACTGTTGTGCCACAATTTCGACATATAACTGTCAAATATTATTGGCAGAGTTGCCACTTTTCTTTGACGGAAAGTGTATTGTATTTTTAAAATTTTTTTTCTGCATTTCCTTCTTTTCGTCTGTCATTTTATTTTCTCAGTGACAACACTAGCTGGTGGTACACACTTCATTGATAATAAACATCCTCTTGTGTTTAGATAAGTTGTAGCCAAGTATATCTTCTCTGCTATGTTGTTTCTACTACACATCTTGGTATTTTTAGATCCATAAAAGTAGATATGGAATTGTTGCAAGTTAACGCAGTGCTCTCTTCAATATACATCAAATGTATTCGATATTTAGAGAAACAGGCCGACAGTTTTTTTCCTTCTGAAATCCTGAATTGGCTTCTTCTTGCAATTAAATAATTGATTAAATATGCTTTGTGTATTATATATATATATAAAGTTTTCATATAAGTAAAATTTTAACCTTTAATTGACTTAAGTTGTAAGTATTTTACATAAGCGAAATGCTAGTAAAATTGGACAGTATGATTCTGCATTGCGATCGTCTTTTCCTGTTTTTAAAACAGGTTTTAAGTATTTGTGCTCACAATGTAAAGAAGAAAAATGTGAAAAATAATTATTGTGCAACTGTGTGTAGCTTATTTATCTTTCTTTTAAAAATTCCACTGTGTGGAGGGGGGGGGGGGGGGGGGGGGGGGGGGGGGGGGGGGGGGGGGGGGGGGGGGGGGGGGGGGGGGGGGGGGCCCACCCCCCCCCAACCCCCCAAACCCCTCAGGGGTCACACATGCTTCAGCACCTCAATTATTATTTCACGGCGCTTAACGGCAGAAGTGAAAACTGATGATGATCTAAACGTTGCAACCCATCGACACAGCGCTCCGATGGATCAAAAACTATTTCTTCCCACGGCGCTTAACGCGCAGATGTGGAAACTGATGATGATGGCCTCAATTATTTCACGACATTATTGGTACGCATTGTTCCATTTTTTGTATAACCTCTTTATAACCCCTCGACCTCTTTATAACCCCTTGAACCTATTGAGGCTCTAAAAGGGATGTTTTGGACAGTAAGTAATATGGGACCGGTATTCGGAAGAGTGCCGAAAGTTGGATCAAGTGACAATGTGACAAGAAGGGACAAAGTCTGCAGTCAGACATACGT